TTCTGCAGACCATTCCAAAGAAGCACCTGTTTCCCTAGGTCCAGGAAAATTCTCCTACCCCACGATCCCCTCTAGGACTCTTCCGGCTGCCTGGGGTGCAGCGGGGCCTCCCTCCCTCCCTCCCTCCTTCCCTTCCTCCCTCCCTCCTTCCCTCCCTCCCTCCCTCCTTCCCTTCCTCCCTTCCTCCCTTCCTTCCTTCCTTCCTGTCTCTTTTTTTTTCTTTTGACGGAGTTCTGCTTTTGTTGCCCAGGCTGGAGTGCAATAGCGCAATCTCGGCTCACTGCAATCCCCACCTCCAGGGTTCAAGTGATTCTCCTGCCTCAGCCTCCTGAGTAGCTGGGATTACAGGCATGCGCCACCACGCCCGGCTATTTTTTTAATTTTTTTTTTAGTAGGGGCGGGGTTTCTCCATGTTGGTCAGGCTGGTCTTGAACTCCCAACCTCAGGTGATCTGCCCACCTTGACCTCCCAAAGTGCTAGGATTACAGGCAGGAGCCACTGAGCCTGGGCAGCAGGGCCTTCCTTTCTAACAGACTCTGGCTCAAGATTCTCTTCCTCACCAAGGTTTTCCAAGCACCCCTCAAATCCCACTACCTTCCACCTGCCCCATTCCCCAAATTCTGTAGGCACCACTTCCACCTGCACACCCAGTATCTCAAAAATAGCTACACACCTGAAAGCACAGAAGAAAACCTTCCCAGGTAAGTAGCCATTATGCACCTGTATACACCTGTGCACATCTGAAGGTTGAGGGAGGCATGAGAATGTGGGTCAATTTGCCAAGCAGGAAACAACGAGAAAGCTACTATTGACAGAGCGTGGCTGTCTGGGCCAAGCTTTTCTAACATAAAAGCCATCAAGCATAGCAGCGGTAAGGCTAGATGACTTTAGAGACTCTGTCTCAAAAGTAAAATAAAATAAAATAAGAACATGATCTATAAATCGTAAACTATAAAGTGCAAAATAAATATACAGTCATATTAAGGCCAATGATTATTGTGAATTCTTTTCATGACATCTGAGTCATTCATCCATTTACTCATTTTTAAACATCGATTAGGCTTTTGGCGTTAGGGACACAAGAACATAGTTTCTGCCCTCAAGGAGCTCACAGTCTGATGAGAGAGACAGGGAGGCTAACAGGCAGTTATTACACGGCTGGCATGCACCAACAGGAATCAGGTAAGAATGAGTTCTTACACTTCAGATGTAGAGAAACCTAAGTGCTCCCTTTTGCCAACCATAGTTCTCTGCTTTGTACTCAGTAGGTGCTCTACCCAGTGGCTCTGGTCACCTCAGGCCGGGCTAAAGGTTCAGGGCATTTGGACATCTAGGAGCTGTGAGGAGGCAGCCACTGGCCAGCTCTACAGATAGCACCTGCAGTAGAGAGTCAGTAGCTGCCACGCAGGCTGGGCCTGGCTCCGTGCACAGTGCCATGGGCTCTGCCTGCCACAGCAGCAGTGCTTAGGGAGGATTCATTTTGCCAGCCGGAGACCCAGTTGGTGAGGGGTCTGCACGGGAAAGCAGTGAACACATCCTCTCACGCCGAGGTCCTGTTTACACTTCAGTCTCCACTCTCCCACGCTGCTCTGAGCTGAGCTCTCTTGCCCTGGGCCCTGACCAGCACTTGTCAGGAGGGGAGGGAGTGTGTTTGAACATCCACAGATGTGTTTACATTTTGGAGACATTTACCAGCAGAAACAAGCCTCTGTACTCTGCCCAAGTTCCATGCGTTGACAGTAGCAACCACACAAATGTTGCTTTCAAAGGGCTTACTGTTCCTGGTGATTATACTAACAGTGGCAGCCCTCTTGTTTGGGGCACGTCCTGTGTGTTAGGGTCAGAGATAAGGGTCTTACCACAACCCCATGAACCAAGTGTTACTATCATCCTGACTCAACAGATAAACAAACATAGAAACTTGGAACGATTAATTACATTACTCGCCTGAAGACACACAGTAGGTGGTAGAGTTGAGGGATTTTTTTAGTTTGTTTTCTTGAGACAGAGTCTTGTTCTGTCCGCAGGCTAGAGTGCAGTGGCACGATCATAGCTCACTGAAGCCTCAAACTCTGGGCTCAAGCAATCCTCCCACATTTTTAAAATTTATGTCTATTTTTTGTAGAGATGAGGTCTTGGTCTGTTGCCCAGGCTGGTCTCTAACTCCTGGCCTCAAGTGATTCTCCCACCTCAGCCTCCCAAAATACTGGGATTATAGGCATGAGCTACTCTGCCTGGCCAAAACTGGGCTTTGATGCCATAACTAGTGGGTTTAATCCACCTTCTATGTCAATGCCAGACCCTGTCCTTTATAAACTAAATAGTCACAATGATGCACCTGTTGCTCTGTCTAGAATGCTCTCCCTCCAATATCTGCACAGCTCCCTCTGGTGCCTTACCTGAAATGGCACCTCTTGTCTAGCCTCCTTTGTCCCTTTTCATGCTTTACATTTATTCACAGAACTTACCCTTCGCTGACATCACCTTATGTATCTATTATTTGTTTATTTTCAGTCTCTCCATTAGACTATAAAGTCCTTGGGGGTGAGGGCTTTGTTTTGTTCACTGCTGAATCTCCAGGGCCTACAAAATAGGGTCTGGGGCCCAGAAGTTGCTGCAAAAAGATTGGATGACTAAAAGGATACATTTCATGCTAATGTGAATCATGCAAAGTTGAGATGGTGCCACATAAAATATGAATAAAGCCTCACTTGGTTTGCAAAATCTGGCAATTCAAATGTTTCCAGGTTGTAAGAATTCATCAAAATCACACCATTTCAAAGCTGGTGGGAGGGGGTGATTATAAGTGGTGCATATGCTGCTTTCCAGGGTGGCCCCGTTTTAGCTGAAATCCCTGGGCTTATCACACCCTGAGCCAGGCTGTGCTTAAAACTTAGAAGCCCTTAGAGGGATCTGGTTGATGAGTGGGCTATTATTTTGTCATTCACTAACATTACAATTTAAAGTATTTTCAGAACCTATAAAAATGTCATCCAAGTGTTCACTACGTGCAAGTGGTATAAACTTTGCTTTGGAATCATTAACTTTGGAGCAGAAATTAGATGTGACCAAATATGCTATAAAAGAAGAACTTGAAACCTCACCCTGTTAATTTTGGAAAGAGGACTCTGCAAACTGTAAGGCAAAATATACAATAATGGTTAAAGATGTATGTGTTTTAAGAAATCATTGCCTTGATGCTTTGTATTTATTTCTATGTTTTGATTTACTTCATATATAATATGAATTCTGAGAGTCAAACATCACCTCTAGAACATGACCACCTTATACTACTGGGTTCGAGGCCCTCCCTTGTTTGAAGTTTCTGACTCTCCCACTAGCAGGTTTGCTGCTGGAAGGTAAACCCAGCCCAGACAGTCATAAGGAAGGTTCTCTGGCCCGTCAGCCCAGAGATCCAGTAGGCTGTTCCCCAGCCATCCATTGCCAGCCCCTCGCTTTGTGTTTATTCTCACCGTGGCTGCTGGGGCTCCCATCAGCTACCCAGTCTAAGCTCAGCAGACCTCTTGGGCAAAGACCTGCCCTCATACAAATAAATGTCTATCCTACGCAACAGAACCATACATCGGGCCGGAAGTGCTGAGCAGACCATGTCTTCTTCCTTTGTTCTGAAACTGCCTGTCATAGGCTTGTGCTAACCTTTAGCTACCTCTTTTCAACATAGAACAAACTGCCGCCCGATATGGAACAGCAGCTGACACACATGCTAACTTCCCTACCATCTGGGGCCTCGGCAGAGGTCTGCGTGGAAGAAACCAAAGTGAGGTTTGAAACCTGGAGTTGGGTCTGTTCTGTGTTCACCAGAAGGCCACGGGTCCTGAGGCCCGTTCCCCCTCCTTCTGTAAGTCCTGCGGTGGTCCTGGAAGATTTCATCTGCCACTTGGGTGGCCCATCTCCCAGGCTGGCTCCAGAGCTCTTTACCCCCTTTCTTCTCAGCCACGGACACCACAAACAGACCCAGGCCCCTGGCTCCTCACCCCGAGCTCTGGCAATTCTGGAATTTTAACTCTGTCATTCCAGTGACAGCCACCATACTTGCTCTTTGACAGCTCTGAGATGGCCAATCCCTTAGTCAGTCCAGACTCCTCCCTATATTTCCCACTGTCCTGTGCAGCCTAAACCATTTCTGTGCCATCATTTAAACCGCACTTGCTCCAGCACCCTTGATCCCGCCGTATCCTCCCTGCAAACCTGCTCTGCTAAACCGGCACTATTCTGAGTCAGCTCTCTGCCTTATGTTCACACGCACATGCACACCCAGGCTGCTTCAACTGTCAGAGAATGTCTCCCTAGCATGGGTCTGGTGCCACCACCAATCCATGGCCTCCCGCTACAAGTGGCCCTCGCAGTGCCTGGAAGTTCTCCTCCCTATCTCCAGTCACTTCTAATTCTCTCAGTTATTTCATGGCCGGGCACGGTGGCTCACGCCTGTAATCCTAACACTTTGGGAGGCTGAAGCAGGCAGATCACCTGAGGTCAGGAGTGCAAGACCAGCCTGGCCAACTTGGTGAAACCCCATCTCTACTAAAAAAATACAATATTTATCTGAGCGCAGTGGCGTGTGCCTGTAATCCCAGCTACTCGGGAGGCTGAGGCTGGAGAATCGCTTGAACCCGGGAGGCGGAGGTTGCCGTAAGCCAAGATCTTGCCACTGCACTCCAGCCTGGGCGACGGAGTAAGACTCTGTGTCCAAAAAAAAAAAAAGTGATTTCACACAGTCTTCAATCTTCTTCTGAGCCCTTTCCTACCAGTTCTCCCCGCCAACTCTGCACCCCCAGCTCCTGCTCCGAACTTGTCTGCATTTCCACCCATCCTTGCAGCTCCTCCTCTAACAGTGGACAGGGCCCCTCCTCCTGCCCAGCTGCACGCTTCCACCCACAGGAGGATCCCACCCCGTGCCTCCTATTCTTCACAGATGGTAACAGACTGAATAACAGCCCCCAGGACTGCGGGTCCAAATCGCGGGAAGCTTTAAATGTTACCTTACTTGGAGAAAAGTTCTTTGCAGGTGTGTGATTCAGTTAAGGACCTTGCGATGAGATCATCCTGGGTTATGCAGGCGGGCCCTAAATGTCATCACAAGCGTCCTTATAAGAAGGAGGTTACCAGATGTGGTGGTCTCCACTCAGGAGGCTGAGGCAGGAGGATCACTTGAGTCCAGGAGTTCGAGACCAGCCATGGCAACACAGCGAAATCCCGTCTCTAAAAAAAGAAAAAGTGAGGTACAGGGAGAGTTAACAGAGAAGAGGAGAAGGTGATGTGTCCACAGAGGCAGCCCTTCAGAGGGAGTGCAGCCAACCGACACCTCGAATGCAGACTTCTGGCCTCCAGCACTGCAAGCAAAGACGTTTCTGCTGTTTTGTGGTCGTTTGTTACAACAGCCACAAGAAACTAATGCGGCACATTCATTTCACCAAGGAGCCCTCCTCCTCTACACTTCAGTCTCCACTGCGATATCTTTTCTCTGCCACCTTTTAAATGTGGTCAAATCTCCCATTGTTAATAACAACGAAAGCAGTAACAGCTTTAATAGATCACTGCTTTCACTTCCCCTGCCTCTGGCTGCCCTCCACAAGCTCTCCAACCCCTGCCTCGGTGCCAAACTCATCAACAGCTGTGCCCACCGCCACTGCCTTCATGCCCATCTGCCCCTGCCTCCTGGTCCTCTGCAAGACCACCCACCCTCACCTGCCACCAGTGACCATGGCACCCCTGAAACAAGGGACACTTTCCATCCTTCTCCTACTGTTTGTCTTGGCAAGAAAAGAACCAAGATTTAATCAACTGTAATTGAATAGCCCAGGAGCTCCTGAAGACAAGAACTGTTTCCCATGCACAGTTGCATTCCCAGGGCTTTGCCTACTGCTGGGCATGGGGTACTTTCTGAGTGCTCACTGTCCTCAGGGTCATGGTCTAGTAGTGGGAGATGCAGAGAGGAAATGTGGTGTGGTCTGCGCAGTCTGCGTCAGGGCACCGGAGCACAGAGGGCTTGCAACCCAGACGTGCGGCTGGGAGGGCAGGAGAGATTTCAGATGCCTTCAAAGACTGGCAGTCAGAGAGAGTGCAGAGTACTGAGGAAAGCCAGGCAGGGTACTATGAAGCAAGGTCAGGAGCTGGAAGGTGGGCAGAAGGACTGTCGGGAATGGTGTGAGCTGAGGAAGGAGGAAGGCTCTGTCATACTGAGTGCTTACAGTATCCCAGCTGGGGCTCAACCCTGAATGCAAAGACAATGACATGCAGACTCTGCCAACCAGCAGAGCCACGGTGCAGGTGCAGACAGGCGGTGAGGGAGAGGTCGAAGGCTCCTAAGCGGACCTGAAAGTGCAGGAGCATTTGGCAGGTGTTCCAGGACTTCCAAGAAAGCAAAGTCTCCAAGCAAACGAGAGTCTCCTCTTGATAGTTTGAGGGTAACACCGTGAAAAAGACAAAAACAGTCATGAAAAAGATGTTGGGTGGAGTTGTGGAGCAACCACCTGTCTTGAGCCAGAAATACCAGGGCTAACTCTGTAGCACGGGGCCTTGGCAGAATTCTTTAGGCGCACATTTCCTTAGCCATAAAAAGGATCTGCTTGATTAGGAGCGAGCCTCATGTGCAAAGAGCCTGATTCTGAAGAGACACACGCTGAGGGGAGCTGTCACAAGAGTCGTGGAGACACGAGTTCTGCTTCTGCGTAGCTCAAAAGGGATGATGAGCACTCCCCGAACTCATCGACGTCACACTTAAAAAGGATCCGATGTCAACGCCTCCTTGGCATTATTTCCAGCAAAGATGTGCTCAACTTGCTCAGTCACATAGGTGAGAACTCAGAAGAAATCCCAAGCAGACAGTAGAGGTTTGGACTGTGGGCATTTTCCCTTTTATCCTTAGAGTTCCTCTCAAAATTAAAGAAAGAATTTCACTCTTATATATGCCTCGTGGAGTTGTGTCACTCTGATTAGCACCAGTATGCATCACAGCCATTTTCAATGTGATCATTGAGCTGTGGGCAGTGTCTTGCACTTAATGATGCTTAATAAGGGTTTCTGGGGAAAGAAGGGTATGTTCTACACACTGTTCTTTGGAAGTAGATGCCTACTAGAACCGGTGCTCCTGCATTTCTGAAAAAGCAGGAACTGCTGCTACCGATGCAGGGTTATGCCACAGACGGCCGTCCTGGAGGCAAGACCTGGCACCTCCCTGCGGTCCTTCCACAGCCGCCTTGTGTCCCAGGTGAAGCACAGGGCCCGTGGAGGAAAACCTAGTTCTATGTCCCTGGGAGAACAACACAAGGAATGAGATGAAATGTTCTACTTAATCGGCCTATGAACTCTCACAGCCTGTTTTTCTGTTCTTTTCTTTTTTATAAGCGTCTGTCAAAACTGTCTCCGGCTGTCACCACCAGCAGCCGTCAGGCCTGGACATGCCTTCCAACACTCCCACGGCCCTGTTTATAAAGGCTCCTGCAGACTGAGCTCGTTTCACCCAAAAAGCTAAAACAGGTTGTTGTTTTATGTCCGCCTGAGGGAATTTAGAGACTTTATCTACAAATTCAAGACAGAAGAAAGCCTAGGGCTCCCTGTTAACCTGTCACATAATTTATAACTAGAGGAAAGAGACATCCGGGTTTATTCTCTTTCCTAGTAATTCTACCCTTCAAATATCAGTCAGTGACAGCAAGGGAAAGGATGGAGAGAGAGGGAAATAAAGACACAGTGGACACGGTGAAAGGGAATCCAGGTCCTTGGGTGGAGATGTGGTTTTGAAGTTGGGTCTGTAAGCTTAGGAGGATAATCTATGTTTACTCCCTTCTTTCTCAAAGTTAGTTTACTGAACCGACAAGAATTGGGACCTGAGCACAGGAGACCTACCTGAAGTAGTGCATTTGAGGGGTTTAGGCTCCATACTAGATTTAAGACATGTGATGATTAAAAGCAGTCAATGACAGTAAGACAGTGTTGGCTGATCTCACACTGAGCAAACTTATTACCGAAGGGGGAACAATGATTCAGTTGACTGGATTTCTCATTAAAAAACCACGAGAGCAAAAAGGGATGTGTATATCTTCAAAGCGCTGAAAGGAAAACCGGCGTCAACCCATGATTCTGTATTTACTGAAAATATCCATCAGTAAGAAAGTAAAATAAAGACAGTCTCAGATAAAGAAAAAATAAGAGAATTCATTGCCAGCAGACACGTTCTAGAATAATTGCTAAAGGGAGTTCAGCAGACGGAAGGGAAGTGATTCCACAAGGAAGCCTGAAACATCAGGAATGAAGGACGCAACGGAAATGGTACATATCTAGGTCAATATAAAAGACTTTTCTGTTCCTATTGAGTTATTTAACCTGCATTTGACAGTTAAAAGACAAAATTATAACATTGTCTGATGGAATTTTCAATGTATATCGATGTAAGACAAGAGTAATAAGAGGCGTGGGGTGGGTAAAGATTCCAATATGGTGGTAAGATTTCCACACTCCACTTAAGTAGTAAAATACTGATTTTAAGTGAAGTGTGAGAAGTTAAGCCTCTACATTGTAATCCCTAGAGCAATAAGTAGAAACCACACAAGGAGATAAATAATAATTAAAGGGACTAAAAATAATCAAATAACCTAACAAAAGGCAAGAATGAGGAAACAAAAGAATGAAACAAGAATGAGAAAAGAAATAGAATACAAATAATAAAATGGTAGGACTAAATCTAAAATACCACTAATTACATTAAATATAAATATTCTATATTATGATATTAGTAAAAATAAAAAGATGAAATACGTTACACAAACACAAACCAAAGAAAGCTAAGTGTCAATATCAGAGTAGATTTTACAGCAAAGAAAATAGTCAGAAATAAAGAAAAACTATGTAATGATAAAAGGGTCAGTAAATCAAGAAGCCAAAACAATCCTATATGTATATGCACCTAAAATTAGAGCTTCAAAATACAAGAAGCATGCCACGTGGGAGGACTGCTTGAGCCCGGGAGTTACAGACCAGCTTGGGCAACATAGCAAGACCCCTTATCTGCAAAAAATTTAAAAATTAGCTGGGTGTGGTGGTACATGCCTATAGCCCTCACTACTTGGGAGGCTGAGGCAGAGGCAGGAGGATCCCTTGAGTCCAGCAGTTCAGGCTGCAGTGAGCTGTGATTGCACCACTATACTGTAGCCTGGGCAACAGAGCGAGACTTCATCTCTTTAAAAAAACAAAAAACAACAAGCAAAAACTGGCAAAACTAAATGGAAGAATAAACAAATCCACAAATCTAGTTAGATTTTCCACAGTCATCTCTTGTTCATAAATAGAATGAGTAGAAAACCAGCTGGGACGTAGATGAAATGAACAATACCATATATCAACTGTATCCAATTGACATTTATAAAACAGTATACAAAACGACAGCAAACTATAAATACTTTTAAAGTGCAAATATAACATTCACCAAGATAGATTACACACTAGATCATAAAACAAACCGTAACAAAAGTAAAAGAATTAAAATCATACCAAGTATGGAATATAATGGAATTAAACTATAAATAACAGAAAGATAACAATCTCCAAATTTGTGAAAATGAAGCAACATATTTCTAAATAATGGTTCCAAAAAGAAGTTTCAGGGGAAATTAGAAAGTATTTTGAATTGAAAAAAACATGAAAATACAACATATCAAAATGTGTGGCGAGGCCGGGTGTGGTGGCTCATGCCCGTAATCCCAGTACTTTGGGAGGCCGAGGCAGGCCGATCACCTGAGGTCAGGAGTTCAAGACCACCCTGGCCAACATGGCGAAACCCTGTCTCTACCAAAAATATAAAAATTAGCTGGGCATGGTGGCACGGACCTGTAATCCCAGCTACTTGCGAGGCTGAGACAGGAGGATTGCTTGAACCCAGGAGGCGGAGGTTGCAGTGAGGTGAGATCATGCCACTGCACTTCAGCCTAGGCGACAGAGTAAGACTCCATCTAAAAAAAATATGTGTGGGATGCAGCTAAAGCAGTGCTGAGCATTAAAATGCTTAGACTAGAAGAGAAGAAAGTTCTCAGCCAAATAATCTAAGCTGAACCCTTAAAAAACTAGAAAAAGAAGAGGAAAATAAACCCAAAGCAAGAAGAAGGGAGGAAATAGAAAAACAATATGATTATAAATGTAGAAGAAAATGGACAACATTCAACATCCACTCATGATAACAACTCTCAGCAAACTAGGAACAGAAAGAAACTAGCTCAGCCTGATACAGAGTATCTACAAGAATCCTACAACTAACATCATCTAAAGGAAAAACTGAATATTTGCCTCCTAACATGGCAAATAGGTAAGGACTTCACCTTCCCCA